CACCATATATAGAGATCAACGAAAATATGTCCAGCCTTGTTTAGTTCCTCCAAACTCCTTTTTGCTAGTTTACGTTACAAATCGAACAAAGCATTGTAGAGTAGCTTTGCTGCTAAGCTCTGAGCTAGCACCAGCTCAAGCTGCTGGTGTTTCGTAATATAATCTTGCAAGGCTGGGAATAGGACAGGTGTCATTGCAACCATCGCCATTTTGTGGTAGGGTCATGTTCTGGTAGATCTGCCGCTACCATACAGAGATTTTAATTTCCCCTCTCTCTGGTTCATGTTACCTTTAAGCTTGCCGATTCATTCTTCCACCCTTCATGGAGTCTGGTTTGGTTGGCTGTCATGGCATCATTTCAGGACCTTACAGTACAGATCAGCTGTTGTTTGTTAATGATGGTTTCTCCCACATTCCATAGCAGCCGTTGCCCATGTGGATTTTAATTTTCTTCTAATCCAAACAAATGTTTCCTATGCAGAGCATCCGTGGATGCAAGAACACGCGGACCAATCACAAGACTCCTGCAGTCATTGTCACGAGATCGGCCTCTGGCGGGAGGACCCTGGCTCATGCTCCTTCTCCATGCCGCTAGCGTCACGGAGCAGGGACGTGAGTTTCAACACGGGCGGGGCGATCACCTGCCAAGGCATGCCGGAGGACGAGGCGTGCTCGCCCACCTTTGCCGCTGCCTGCAGGTCGTCCTTCTCGGCGTTCGTCACCGACCCGGCCCCGTCCTCCTGCCCGGCTTCCACCTCCGGTGGTTCCGGGTTCTCGTTCGGCGGGGCCTGTGAACCGCCCGGCGGAGGGTTCCCGTTGCCCGTGTCTTCCATGCCGAGCTTCTCGTTCTTCTGCGCGCAAGATTGCAGTGAGCCTGAACCATCGTTGTCGGCCGAGAAAGCTCCCTGCGACACGACGGTGGCTGCCTCATCCCTGAGGACGGCGAAGGGGGCCACGTCGCGGGGTGTCGTCGGCGTCAACGGCAGGCGGAACCACACGATCGGCGGCGCTGGTGGGCGGGAGCACCTGGACGTGGCAGTGTCGGAGTCCGTCATACGCTGGGCGTCGTGCACCAACTTCTCCACGACGCACTCGCTCCGGGCCTCCCTCGTGTGCTAGCAATAGCATTGTGGTGTTCCACGCGGCGCCAGCGCGAGCTGGGATAGCGCTTTGGCCGTTCTTTGCCTGTAAAGCGCGATGCAATGCAAAGCTGCTGAGGGTGGAGGTAGAGAGTGTAGCCTGGACTTGTATAATATATATTTATACACACAATGCTGTTATAGTGGTAATAGATTAAATTAAAGAGTGCTGATGTGATTGCATGTTGTCATGATGGATGGTGTGGTGTGCACCAATCAGGGCCTTGTTTAGATGTCATTCAAATTTCAAGTTTTTTCACTCTCTTTTCATCACATAAATTTTTAGCCGCTTGTATAGAGTATTAAATGTAGGTAAAAAAATAACTAATTACACAGTTTAGTTAGAAATCACGAGATGAATCTTTTGAGCCTAGTTGGTCCACGATTGGACAATATTTACCAAATAAGACGAAAGTTGCACTATTCATCGGGTTCACTTTTTTTCAATCTAAACGAGGCGCAGGCAAGGTACTGCTAGTGCCTTTTGCCATTGTTGCACTTGTCAGTGTCAAGGTGTGCTCAGGCAATCGCTCAGTCGAGTTCTCTTCGACTTCAAATTTGGTGCATGTTTTTTCATTTTTTTTAGCTGGAATGACGTTTTTTTTCTTTCTTTCTGTTTTCTATGTTTTCCATAATGAACCGATTTCCGTGGAATTTTTATACGATTTCTGTGAAATCCTTGCATTCCAAAAATGTAAAACCTGTTGACACGTGCAGGGTCTTGTCTTAGGCAAAAGCCAAAAAGTGAATCAGCAATGAGGTAGGACAGTGCAAAAGTTCACAATGGCCATAAATAGCAGGAATCATCCTGTTCGGCTGATCAAGTCTTTTCTTTTTTTTTCAGCTGGTTCTCTCTCACATAATACTATTGAATCATTCGAAATTAGCCCAAACCTGATCAGCCGAACGGGCCAATAAGAGTTTTTTTAATCAATACCGAGAGAACCGAGAGGCTCTACCTAAATATATTTTCCACATATTCTGGCAAACCGTTAATAGAGAGCGCAAAGCATCTATTACATGAACGACCCTTAAAGGTCACAGAAGTACATGACATAGAGAAAGAGAGGAGGATATAACACCAATAACAAAAGCAAGACCAGCAACAACGACAACAACATAGTTCAGCTACAGGCTCATCGTACATTCGGAGCTAGTGCAAACACCACTATCACGACCTGTGCCACCACCAAAGACATACTCTGAATGTTTCAAAAAAAAAGATATACCCTGAAGATCTCTAATTCACATCAGCTGCAAGCGAGTCGACCCCGACAGACGACAACCAGGAGGCTGTAAGGCATAAAGGGCCTGTTCGCTGGTTGGTGCTGGTGCTGGTTTGGGCTGGCTGGTGCTGATTTTTTTGAGAGAAAAATACTATTGGCTGGCTGGTTTGGGCTGGCTGAAACCAACCAGCGAACAGACCGAAAGTGAGAACAAACCGACGACAACCGTGAGTTACATCGCCTATGACAGCATCCGGGTTCCAACCGACGAACACCAACGCCATTTGGGGAGGAAGCCTCAAAGGGGGACGGCCACCAGGAGGAGAACGAGGAGATCTAGAGAAGAGATCAAGGTCCCCACAACCTAGCATATGATGAGGAAAAACACTCAAAGAACTAGAGAACGATAGAGCAAGCCGTTGACGACGAGCACCTGACAGCAAGCAGTGTGCGCAAAGGCCAAGGGGTAGGAGGGTAGTCAGATCAATAACAAGATGGGGAGGAAGAGCAATGAGAGAGAGAGAGAGCACAAGGCCGCGTTGGACGCGGCCAGGAGCAGGTGTGCTTGTGTCGATGTCTTCAAGAAGAGAAATGACGTTCACATAGGTCACCATCGATGACCGAAGCACTAGGCTCACAAGGGCTTTCGCCTCCAGACTTGCCTAGCGGATGCGTAAGCCCGAAATGGCCTTCACGAAAGCAGGAAGTGGAAACTACAACGACGCCTTCATGGAGAGATATGACGCCATTTGCGCCGGAGCAACAGCCAGGCAGGGTTTTCACCCAGATTCCAAATGCCTACTGAAGCCCATCCAAAGCGCAACACGCCAAGACGAACTTGCAAATAGCAGTTACTAGTTACTAGTATGATGAAGAAATGAAATCTTATGGATCATTTTTGACACAAGGAGTGTTAAATTTGACACATTTAATATAATCTTATGGATTATTTTTTAAACTGAGAAATGAAATCCTGTACGTGTTCATATCTTTGAGAGTTCTTACATATCTCTACGTAACGAGATCAGGCTAAGCTTGGTCATCTTATTGGGCGACACTTCGCCTGTTTTTCTAGGCCGTTGGATTCTCGTGCGGCCCGAGACTGAGTACGCGCATGAATTTTAAAGCGTCCGTAAAAACTAAACGATTCAATTTGGAACCAAGCCATCTTCACTACTCTAAAGAGGGTACCTTAGGCTATCAACGAGAGCTACAACACGACACCCCTTCTTAACTTAATTTCACAAAATAATTTGCCAAACATGGCTTTGTCACACTGCTGCTTACCTTAGGAATTTTTCTAAGTCTTGAGCTGTATTTGTTTTCAAGTTCTATTTCTAGACTATTAGAAATACTAGCTAGTAACATTATTTTTCTACAGCAAGAGTTGTATTGTTATCTACAAAGTTTGTACTTTAAATTTTATTTAAGTCTCATATATATGTTCTATAGTAGTTTTTGTTCAATAAAAATTAGTTTACACCCCCTACTTGTTAACTGTACGAATCGTGGAGTAACTTTCGTTTAGTAGTTTTGATGATCGTTTTAGTTGCAATGCATTATCTAGTCACTTCACCACACACATTAACATACAAGTATGATGCTCATGACATGTTTTAGTAAATGATTTAGGGTCGAGGGTGTTACACAGCGAACCTGCACCATCGCAGCTGCCTACCAAGTAGGTCACGACCGTGCGACGATGATGTGTTTTTCAAGTGTTTCTAGATTCTTTTTCAGACATGTTGCAAGTCCATGTTTCAAGTGTTTCAGTTATTTCAGATGTATATTTCAATTGTTTCATGCGGATATTGCAAAAGTAGATCGGGATATTGCATATGTTGCAATGGTTGTACACGTATGTTGCAAACGTTTGTTCCTAATGTTTCATTTGTTTTTTTAGATGTTTGTTGCAAGTCTGTTTATCCGGATGTTGCATATGTTTCACTCATATGTTGCAAGTGTTTTATCTGGATATTGCGTATGTGTTGCAATGTTTTTCTAGTGTTTCATGTGTTTTTTCAAGTGTTTCAGACGTATGTTTCAAACGTTTTATATGAGTTCATACGTATATTGCAAGTGTTGTATCTAAATGTTGCACTAGCTATACACGTATGTTGCAAAGTGTATATTTAAAAAAAGTTAACTGTTTCAAACGTATGTTGTAAGTTTTTTATCTGGATGTTGTATATGTTGTAGTGCCCATACGCATATGCCGTAGGTAGAGGTGGTCCCCTCGGAGCGTAGCGGTCTCCGCGTGTACAAAGCTGGCCGTGGAGCACGAAGCTGCATGCATGCTGGCCTGTTCTCTCTCTCTTCTTATTCCAGCTGGATGCGGTCGGTCACCAGTAGCAGCATGCGGGAAGCAGGAGTGCGGTGACTCGGTGAGGCTACTCCTGATGGTAGCGCCCCCAAGCGGTCAAATCGGGACGCGGGCGCTGCGTGCGAAAGTAGTAGGCGTGGGCGTCCGGCGCCAATAGTTAAAGAGTAGGCGTGATTGGATGGGCCTAATTGCAATCAGGCCCATCTGTCAGCCCAAGGGCTTGATCGTAATAAGGCCCACCTGCCTGTCAGCCCCTCAATTCCCTCTGCAGCTCCCAGCACCTCGCGCAATTCGTCGAACTCGAACACTGCCATGGCAGCCGCCGCTGCCGACGACGACGTCAAGCTCGAATCCTTCCTCCAATGGCTCCAGGTCGCTCCCTCTCCCTTTCCCATATCCCGTCCAACCCTTGCTCCCCCCTAAAACCCTAAACCCCGACCCCTCCCTTTCCGCTGCAGGCCAACGGCGCCGACCTCCGCGGCTGCATGATCCGCGCATGCGGCGGCAAGGGTTTTGGCGTCTTCTCCACCGCCGTCCCCGATCCGGGCTCCAACGACGGTAACTCTCCTCTCCTCTCCCCCTCCCCCGAATTGACGAGGCTCATCCGGGCGTTGCGCCGGTGCGGTGCAGGGGTGGCGATGGTGGTGCCGCTCGACCTCGCCATCACGCCGATGCGGGTGCTGCAGGACCCACTCGTCGGCCCGCGGTGCCGCGCGCTTTTCGAGGAGGGAGGCGTCGACGACCGCCTCCTCGTCATGCTCTTCCTCATGGCCGAGCGCTGACGCCCTGGCTCACTCTGGAAGCCGTAAGACCGCAATCTGCAATCGAATTCCCCTTGCCCCCCGCACACGGAAATAATTTCAACTGTAGCTGAAGTGGTGTGTCACTGCAATCGCAGATATTTGGATATGCTTCCGAGCACCTTCGGGAGTTCCCTTTGGTTTACTGAGGAAGAGCTTGCCGAACTGGAAGGGACGACTCTGCACCGGGCTACGGTGATCCAGGTTCATCACTGTTGTTGTTAGACTTCTGCTTGGGGATCTTGGGTGGTAAAGACAATCAGTCGTTTTGGGATTTTGTTTCAGAGGAAGTCAGTGCAATCCTCATTTGATGAGAAGGTTAAAGGACTCGTTGAGGATCTTTTACATGTCGATGAATCAGCAAGGTATGGATTTAGTTTATAAGGTGTTTGAAATTCACTTCTAGTGTGGTTTGTGGTTACCATTATGCTTTATTGACTTTTTGAGTCTATTTTGATCTGAATAGCCTTTTTCACCTAGCCCTTACTACACTTGCAGATCTTATGTTATTGACCTAATTGCATCTCTCATGATTTTATATTTGTTTCAAAATGTACTTAAGACCCATCAATTCACAAATTTAACATCACCCAAATAATGACATACCTATGTATGCTCTCATGGCCTCATGTTGAAATTTGAATTTCACTCTGATTGTGCTGTAATAATGTTGGTGATTCTTCTAACTCTTTTATGCTGCATCACTTCTTATGTGCAAATACTGGCCTGTTTTTGTGCAACCAAGGGACTGGCGCTAGGGCCTACCGGCCTAGCAATTGCATCTAATTCTGCTTAGCATCAAATTATCACTTAGGCGTTTCTAAAATATTGTCAGATATTCAGCTTTTTAGGTGCATGGATATCTATTTATTAGGTGCCCGGTCATTGTTTTTGTCTCATTGATTGAGTTGTTAGGAGCCTGAAAACTAACAGAATGTTGCATCATGCTTAAGCACATAAATATTTACTTCATTCCATATCACTTCTCTTCTGCCATCTCCTCGAGTAAGCCAGTGCCATCTGGCCCTTTTTTCTTGAAAGGTTCATTGTTATTGCTTGATACATAAAGTATTATGTTTAAGCAAAAAAAAAAAAAGATTATTCTATCTCTATTGTACTCCCTCTCAAGTAAATTGGTGTCTCCTGGCCTTTCTCTCTGAAACTAAGATTCATTACATTGCTTGTAGTTGTAGCATGTTTGCTGAGAAATGTACTCCTTTTGATCTGCTTGAAACTTTCCATTCGTTAAATGCTAATACTATCAAAACTGTTTTGCAGCTTAATTGAAGTGTTGTTTGAGGATTTCCTTTGGTATGTAATAACTCTTGTTTGTACTAAAGTTAGAAACGACATACTGTAAACTTCACTTGATATCATTTTACCATCTTGATTGATCATGCCATTATGTGGACTGTGGACAACGCTGTGTTAATGTAATGTTGTAAACAGTACATGGGATTGGAGAATCAAGAGAAGAAGACAATCCTGAAATGTTGTAATCAAGAAGAAACAGAAGAATCTTTTGTGTAGATTAGTTAGGTATCATCTGTTACAATAGTATAACAATTAGGAGTTCATTTTCACCATGATTAGTAGTGTTGCATAGCTATACTATTTTACCTGCAAATCTACCATGCAATTGGATGTTCAGTATGACCCACGTGCATAAATGAGTTAGCCACACGAAAAAACAATAGCTGAACCAAATAAGGCGTGACAAGGTTTTACTGTATTAGTCATTCAAAAAAAGTTAACATGTTTCACTATCTAGCATCGAGTGCCTGCTTCCTTTTCCTGTGGTCATGGTGAAAATTTGATCGGTGTTAAGGAATCTGTAATTCTTGCTTGATTAAAGTGATGGTGTCAAGGACTAATTCTTTCCACAAGTGTACATAATCGAAAGCTTAATGAAACTGCCATATAGACATCCCAATTTTATTATCTCCAGCTAATTTTCTTTCTAATCAGCAGTATGAGTCTTTGACAGGGCAAACTCAATCTTCTGGACTCGAGCACTGAACATACCACTGCCTCATTCTTATGTTTTTCCGGGGTCATGTGGCGATGAACAAATCGGAACCGGCAATGATGCTTGCTATTCTGGCCCCCCTGCCCAACAGGTCAATTTCAAACCTTCCAACCTAGCACTGGTATCATAATTGAAACTGAATTCAACATTGTGTCATGGTCACAAATCTTACAATTTGGAACGGAGGGAGTAGGTAAATGTACTATCCCCACCATCAAATGAGCCTCAGGATATTTTTTTTACCTCAGGATTTTTTCCCCGCAAAAATAAAAAATAAAAAATCCTGAGGCTCATTTGATGGTGGGGATAGTACATTTACCTACTCCCTCCGTTCCAAAAAAAATTTGTGGGGAAAAAAATCCTGAGGATCAAATGAGCCTCAGGATTGTTGCAGACTTTTAAAAGTTGAAACTGAATTCAACATTTGTGTCATGGTCACAAATCTTGAGTCTCGAGCCATTTCGGACTTTGGGGGATTGGTATCATAATTGTACCTGTATGCTCAAGTGGGTGACCTTTTCCTAACATAGAAATAGTTAAAGAAACTTCGTGAGGCTCTGGTATACCATGGGCATTCTACTCGTGCTTTCTGGCATCTTCACTATTAATTTTAAATGGTTTTCTTCATCCATATGTTCTTGTGCCAAAATACTTGCTCTTTTTTTTCGGCAGGAAATTGACAATACAGCTAAGGATCATAGTGCTGATGAGAATTCTAAATCAAGTAACACAGAGTCAATTTGGGTTGAGGGCCTTGTCCCAGGAATTGATTTCTGCAATCATAGTAAGGGTTCTATATTTAATTCATCAACTACAGTCTGACAAAGTATTGCCTGTTTTTCGACAAGAAAGTAAACATGTATGATGTATCTGTTAGTCTAGCATCACTCTTTCCCTGTTATAAGCTAGTTTGATTGTATTCACTAGATGTAAAGGCACTGGCAACATGGGAAGTTGATTCTGTGGGAAATGCTACTGGAATTCCTGCTTCAATGTACCTCTTGCTTGGTAACTTTTATGATCCAACCTTCTTTTTGTATAGTTCACCACATGATAAATGAACTTTGTGGCGTTCCTTTAAGCTAATATTTTCAGTAAGATAATTATTCCCATTATGATTAATTGTATGTATTCGTTTCTTTCTGAAGCTGATAAAAGTTCTGCTGAGGCTGGAGCAGAGATCTGCATAAACTATGGCAACAAAGGAAATGAGGTATTACTCACAAAAATATGTGTAGATCTAGTGTTATTACTTATTAGTTTACCGCTAATGTTTTGTTCTTTTTAATTTTAGTTTTCTGTTTTTTATTATAGTTGCCGTTGTATGACTTGGATCACTCTCTTTGTCTCACATATTCTTGTTTAGGCTCTCTATCACACTTTTTGTAGTATACTAATACGGCACCGTGATACTTGTGTGATTGCCTCTTGTGGAACAATAGAAACCCTTACAAGAAATTTCTTTAGACCTGTATTCCTAGGCCTTAGTTACAATTTTGGCAAAGAAATCCAGAAAACAATCTAATGTTTCCTGGTCTTGACGATGCATAATCTAAAAGGAAACAAAATCAAATGAGGCGGATGCACTGCTTGAAGATTATGTGGCTTTTTTTATCCCTGGGGTCTGGTTATTTGATTTGAGTGGCACATGGATTCATATATCCTTAGTTACTTATGGATTTACTTCTAGTGCAAATGCTGAATTATTGCTCTAGATTTCACACTGATCATACTTAGAGGTGAAAAGACGGTTTTGTTTTGTGCAGTTCCATGTTTAATAGTTTAACAACTAGAATAGCCTTACTGATGAAGTGTTGTACTTTGTGTACTTACAGGAACTACTGTACCTCTATGGATTTGTGGTTGACAACAATCCTGATGATTATCTCATGGTAACCCTCATAATGATGTATGTGCTAAAAGATAATAATTTAGAATTTTTCCATTTATCTTTTGTAGCCAAAAAATAAAGAAAGGTCAGAATTTGGACTATTAAACTGACCAAGTAAATGTTTGGCTTAAAAATCTGTGGTACTAATCAGTTTACCATCCTGTGATATTTGGAAACCTAACTCTATTGCTCTTTGGAGCAACCAAAGGAAGAACATTTGCAGTGGAAAGTTGAAAGAAAAGGATGAAGTCATTATTCATTACTAATTCCTTTCTCATTTATTGCTGAGTCAATAGAGCTAGGATTTGAAATTTCATAGAATAGCATATCTGTGTCTCGTCGTTTGTATAAGTTACTTAGACATATACAATTATTCGATTGGCTGTTTGAAAGGCCTCACGTGTTACAGGATTAAATTGTTAAGATTCAGTATTTTTTCCCTGTTTTGGCATACTTACATAAGATGTATCTAATAAAGTAAGCTCTGGTTACTTGCTAAGTGCAGGTTCATTATCCTTTGGAAGCTCTTAGACAGATCCAGTCTGCTGATACAAAAATGCAGCTACTAGAGATGCAGGTACTGCCAAGGGATTAGCCCTTTTCCACCCTATTCATGCATTGCTTCTATCATTATATTGAGGTGCTACCTGTACATGCCAGGGTTTTGGGAATCGCCTACTAGTAATAAGTACTTTGTGCTTATTAATTACCTTACGTAACGCTTTTGATTGTTAATTTGTACAAAGATTTCAAAATTTGTCCCTGATCAGGACAGCTCAAGATTATGATGACTGCACTAACCAGATCAAGCCCTCTAAGCATTCAATACCTCCATGAATCTCACTTTGTGTGTCTTCTGTATTTTGCAGAAGGGCTAATTGAGATGCCTCCTACCCAGAAGATTGCTTGATAATGGATTTTTGGTATCTGTTCCAGTGAAGATAAGGATAGCAAGAAAAATACTAGTCCATTTTCAAGTTTTAGTTGGAGTGGTCAACGCAAAGTTCCATCATATCTTCACAAAAATGTTTTCCCTCAGGAATTTATGAGTACTCTACGGACGATTGCCACGCAAGAACATGAGCTTGAACAAGTTGCTTCTTTACTTGGAGAGGTTAGCACTTTTTACGGTGTATTTTAAGCCAAGAGTTGACTCCTGAGGCTATAATCTCATGATTTAGATTTGGACTTTATTCTTAAGGCGTCATACTACATTTTCTGGAGATGCAGTGATCAGTGTTTCGTTCGCTACTTCTGAATTGATCTGTTGATAACTGTATACTGAAAAGGAGTAGGAGACTAGTGACTGTGCATGTAAGAATCTTTTCTTAGCCATCTACTGTGCCAAAATGGCAGAATTCCATGTAGCGTGATTTAGGCATGCTTTGTTAGCTGACATCCTCCTCCTATGACTCAACTTGGAGTCCTTAGGTTTCAAAATCTTAAAACTAACTAGCAGGGGTGCTTTCACACTCTTGTAATGTGTGCAGCTACATAATTTGCTGCATATGCCCCTGTTTTTTCGGCAGCGCCAGATAATAGTTATTTCATGTCGTTTGCATGGAGGCACTAGTTTTTGGCATCACATCCATGATCCATGTCATGAAGGCTGCATTCATGAATATGAGCTTTACTGGCTATGCATGCCGTAAAAAAGTATTCATGAAGCAATTGTGATCTCAAGTTTCATAACAAGTTTCAATTCCTGATCTAACGTCAGAATTTAGATGAAGATTAACTTTTGTTTTCAGCATTATTCTATATGGCCTATTTGACAACTGATGACTACGCTTATATTTGAAGTGCTCAAAGAATTTATTTGGATGCGATGCATCTAAACATGAAACACGACAAATTCTGTATTATGTTGCAAATTGATTCTAGGGCCTTTGCTGAATTTGTTCTTGCTAGGTTGGATCTAGTGAAGATAGAGAAATATCTGACGCAGAGATCCAAAGTGCTATTTGGGAGGTCTGCGGTGATCAGGGTGCACTGGGTTTGCTTGTGGATCTTCTTGGGGTCAAGTAATCACTTTTATCTTCCTATTGATGTATTTTGGATCATATTGCCGTCTTTGGTATAGCATCAAGAATAACTCATAGATCATCACTCCATCCATTTTGCAAGAATGGCTGAACTTGAAGAGGGCTCTGGAACAGAAGCATCTGACACTGAACTGCTTGAGCAGTTTGATTCCATTCGGTCAGAAGACTACGCGAGGTGGGCAGATCAAATTTTGGCTTTTCTCAAGAGTTTTTTTGTTTTATTTTCCTTATCTTAAATTCACATCCATGCATGGTACTATACTTATTTCCCGCAATGTACTATGGGGCACTATTGAAAATGGTTTTTAGGATACAACATGAATAGCCCAAATATCCAAGATGTGCAGGGAGCTAACAGATTTTAGAGCACGTCTTTGTTTATCAGCCTCATGTTTTATCGTAATGATATGCAAACCATTTTCTTTTATTCTCGCAGTGAAAGTGATGAGAAGCACAAAAAGAAGTCAAAAATAAATTACCGTTCATGTATAGTGTACCGAAGAGGGCAAAAGCAGCTGACAAGGTTGTTCCTGAGGGAGGCAGAGCATCTTCTGGAGCTTTCTGCAAAAGAACAGACCTAAGAAACTTATCTGGTATAAATTTTCTTGTCTCTGTTTTCCAGTAAAATTTCTAAGGTTTTATACAGTTGTAGTTGTGGAAGTAATGTCCTCTTAAGTATTTCAGTACAGAGGGCATATGGTAGTCTGAGTCAATTTACAACTGCAATGTTTTTTAAATCATATCCCACCGCATAGTTTGCTGTGCAAGTCAGTTTGTACCTACGATAGCAAAGCATAATTTCTATGCTCCCCCAGCTTGCTTGGGATTATTCAAGTGTTTCCTCTAGAAAGTTTTTTGCCATGCCTGATTTGACTAGAAGTTGCTGCTGAATCACATGAAAAAGAGTGTACAAAAAGGCATCAAAATGGCTTAAAAAACACTTGCAGTGATAAAGGTTGCAATATATTTTCTAACTTGTTTACGATCGTGGCATTGGCAGGCCTGCATCAGGTCTTGAATTGCAGAGTTGTCAAACTAGTGCTGGTGGCCACATCCGATGGAGGAATGGCCAAAAGAGGCACCTGGCTGTGTTAAGAGTTTCTGATGGGGTTTGACCTGACCTGTACCCTCTCCTCGGATCCTTCGGGCAGGAGACCTTTGCCAGGGGTAGCATTCACACACTTACTATATTGATCTTCTTCGTTTCGTTCCCTTGCGAAAGCACTTCATTCCAGAGGAGTGCGTATGCACGTTTGATGTCCTTTCCAGAGGATTCTGGATGCAAAAGACCGAAGCATGTTCGTGGCTTTACGGGGTCTTCGTATCTTCGTTTCCTGCTTGGATAGATGGTTTTGGTCTGACAACTGACTGGTCCTTGGCTTCGTCTAGATTTGGTTTTGATCTGACAACTGAATGGTCCTGTATAATGGTTCACCTGCGCTGCATGTACTGTATGTATTTTTGTGTTTCCAGGTAAACATTATATAAATGCCATAGGTATGATGAAGAGGCATCCGCTCTGCAGCAGATTGGCCTCTGACAGGATATCGTTGGGAAGGTGTGTAGGAGTACGTAAGTACTCCTACTTGAGCTCGAGCTGCCTTCTACTCAATAGAACCTTGCGTCACTCTGCTGCCGCCGTGGGCTTCTTTGATTTCTTGGGCCCTTGTTATCCCATTTCTTGTCCTTTGTGTGTGTTTTTGTCTGTGGATGCCAAGAGATAAAGTAGATATATTCATTTTAGATATAGATCTAGTCTCTTTGCTGTAGGTAGTCATGTGTCACGCAGGTAGAGTTCCTGAATGGTATCAGATCAGGACATAATTACTGGTCTTATATGTTTAATATCAAGCTTGTGACCTTTTTTGCATGCCTAAAATCATTTGAATGTGATAGTTTAGCCAGTAGAAGTCACGTTGAGAATTGCAGCAATAGTTAAAAGCATTGCAATCAGTAAGTACAATGCTGCATCACTTCATTAACTGCATATGAGTTTCAGAGTTTGTCTTTCAAATATGTAGTTTGTAGCACTTTTTTTTTTTCAAACAAGTGGTCAAACTAAAGCACTATAATAACATGCACTGCCTTTATGATGCACTAATAAGTATACATAAAGAAATCCACCTAATAGTTTGCCACAATTGATATTTATATCATCAAATAAATCTGAACATCAGGTATAAGAAATGATGTTTGTTTTGTTATATAATTGACTAATTCTTCAAGTATAATTACCTGATATCTATAAAACAAAGGCTTTCATCTAAAAAAACTGAATTTTCTACTGATTACGTACCATGGGATGGATCTCGATCCAGTTGTGCTTCGGTTGACTAGTTTGTTTCGTTGCTTCGTTGCTGGTTCGTAAAGAAGTATTGCTGGTTGGTTTGTGTGAGAGAAAAATACTGTTTTGGCTGAAAATTTACAATCGTTTACGACAAGCCACAACCAAATGAACTTTACTCCGGACCCGACTCTCAGAGAGCGTTCGGCTGGCTGGCCAGCTCACTCACAGAAACACTGTTCATGTTCGGACAGAACAGTATTTTTCTCTCACAACAATCTGTCGGAACATTATTTTGGCTTATTTTTCAGTCCTGCAGAACAGTATTTTCCTCTCACAACAATGCAGCTGAACTGTCGCTATACTAGCTAAGGGCGCGTTTAGTTGGCCAAAATTTTTGGTTTTGGCTACTGTAGCACATTCGTTTGTATTTGACAATTAGTGTCTAATTATGGACTAATTAGGTTCGAAAGTTTCGTCTCGTGATTTCTTACTCAACTGTGCAATTAGTTTTTTTTCGTCTACATTTAATGCTTCATACATATGCCGCAAGATACGATGTGACACTTTGGGGTGAAAATTTTTGGAACTAAATATGACCTAATCCGTCCCATGCATGCAGCCGAAGGGAATAAAAAACGGTAATGTTATGACCCTGACGGCCTGACGTCGACGTTTTCAGGACGCGTGTCTAAGGATCGGATACGGCGCCGTGTGTCCCACGCTGCTCCGACTTCGGAACGTCGCGTGCGGAGTGGAGCCGCCGGCAGTACAAAACAAAACGCTTTTACCACGGAGTGGAGGCCAACTGCTCGCCACGGAGTGGAGGCTAGATGTCCGTCCCTCGGTTTGCGTGCTAGGCTACTGTGCCGCTGCCGCTTGACAGAAGCCAGCACTCATTCCTCCAACGCTCTCTCTCTAACAATAAAAAAAATCTCCGGTGCTTATCCACTCGTCTCAGCGTTGGCCGCTCGCCCTTCCTCACCGCGTGCATGTCTCCCGCGCATGCCGTGCACTCCCTCGCCTCTAGCCGACGGACCCAGCCCGTGCTGTGCGCCTCGCGCCCCCGCCCCGCATCGCCCTCTTCAGCCGCACGCGGAAGAAATCCAGCGCATCCCGTACACACCGCCCGCCCACGCTGCGCCGGCGAGGTAGGTGGTTCCTTGGTTCTAAGCCCTCCACCTCCACCTCCTCCTCTGAACCTTGATGGATGCGGTGGTGGTTATGGTTCTGACGAGCTCGGTTGCAGTAGTCTTGTTTTGATGTTGCAATAACTAATATTTCTTTATTGCATTAGTCTCTTTTTTTTAATGTTGCATTTCGCATTACACTTTGTTTCATATTGTTGCAGTAACGTTGTTTTGCTGTTGCAACAAGCAATTTTTTTTGTTGCATTAGTTTTTTTTTCGGATGTTGTATCTCGCATTGCGCTTTGTTTCTTGTGGTTACAGTAGCTTTGTTTTGCTGTTGTAATAAGTATTTTTTTTGTTGTATTAGTCTTCTGATGATGTTGCTTTCTCGTATTTCGCTTTGTTTTTTGTTTGTTGCAGTAGCTTTGTTTTGCTGTTGCAACAAGTAATTTTTATTTGTTGTATTAGTCTTTTTTTTATGTTGTTTTCTCGCATTTGCTTTTTGTTCTATTTTGGTTGTAGTAGCTTTGTTACGGTGTTGCAATAAGTAATATTTTTTTGTTGCATTTAGTTTCTTTTTTCTGATCTTGCACCTCGTATTGCAGTAGTTTTGTTATATCGTTGAAGTTATTTTGTTATGATGTTAGTAGACTTTCTGTGGTGAGGATGAGACATACCTTGCGTGGGCATGCGCGGGGGATGGGCGGCGCGGCAGGATTATCCTTACGTGCATGCGCAGCAGTAGACCCAGCATAGCATGTAAGCAGCAGGTGCAAGCACACAGCGCGCACCACGCGAGCTAAGCATGTGAGCAGCAGGGGCAGGCTCGCAGCGCAGCACACGAGCAGAGCATGCGAGCAGCAGGCCCACGCATGCAGCGCAGCACGAGTATGCGAGCAGAGCATGCGAGCAGCAGGCCCACGCAGCAACATGCAAGCTACAGGACGCGAGCAGCAGACGGAGGCAACAGGACGCGAGCAGCAGGCACAGCCACACACGAGCACCATCGGGTGGCAATTGCGCAACAGCAGCAAGCGGGTGCACAGCGACAAGCCGGCAGGCGCAGGCGGGACAGGCGTGTCAGACGCGGACGTGCACGGCACCGTCCGGGGCCACGTTTAGGCCCCGTTTAGATGATGTGAAAATTTGTGGTTTTTAGTTACGGTAGCACTTTCGTTTGTATTCGATAAAAATTGTTCAATTATAAACTATTTAAGTTTAAAAGATTCGTCTCGTCAATTATGGACAAGCTATGCAATTAGTTATTCTTTTTACCTACATTTAATGTTCTATGTATGTGCCACAAGATTTGATGTGACGGGGAATCTTGAAAATTTTTGGATTTTAGGTGGGATCTAAACAGGACCGTTTTGTTTTTATTTGGTAATAATTATCCAATCGTTGACTAATTAGGCTCAAAACGTTCGTCTCACAAAGCACAACCAAACTGTGCAATTAGTTTTTGATTTCATCAAAGTACTCTATGCATGTACCGCAAGTTTGATGTGACGGGGAATCTTCTTTTTGCATAGTGCCAAAGTTTGAATTTTGGTGGAACTAAACATGGCCCGGATCGGTAAAAATTGATTTCCTCACCGGCGACTAGTCGCTGTCTCATCGGATGTTGCATACATACGTGGAGTATTAAATATAGATTAATTACAAAACTAATTGTAAAGTTTACGACTAATTTACGAGATGAATCTTTTAAACCTAACTACTCTATGATTTGATAACGTGGTGCTACAGTAATCATGTGTTAATGATGGATTAATTAGACTTAACAAATTCGTCTCGTGGAGTATCAACGGATTATGTAATTTATTTTTTTATTAGTACCTGAACACCCCATGCGACACCCTCATTTGACACCTTCTAAATTAAGGGCTTGTTCGTTTAAACTTATCAGCCGACTTATCAGCTAGAATCTACAATATTTTTCTCAGACAATAAATTAGCTTCGGCCGACTGATACCAGCCGAACATGCCCTTCCAAACACCCCTAATCCTGTGCAGCAAATGACACAGTTAATACGCGCACGTACCTCCATAAGCGCTTCTTGGTATCTGGTATTTGGTTCTGCAGGCCCGACGGTCTGTTCGGTTGACTGGTTCGTATTATTATTGGTTCGTGAAGAAGTACTGCTGACTGGTTTACGTGAGAGAA